CTCTGTCTACTCTGCCACCTAATTCTTAGGAGAAGGGTGGAAGAGAAAAGATGGAAGAATGAGGGAAGAGAATGAACAGGAAATAGAGACAGAAAAAGAAAAGAAGAGAAGATGGGGAAGGAATTGGGGTAGAATTTTTAAAATGAAACTTCTGATAGGACAAATGGTTTCCTTAAAAGAAGGCCATGAAGGTGGCACCTAAGTGGTACAGTGGTTAGAGCACTGGCCCTGGAGTCAGAAGGACCTGAGTTCAAATCCGGCCTCAGACACGTGATACTCACTAGCTGTGTGACCCTGGGCAAGTCACTTAACCCTAATTACCTAACCAAAAAACAAAACAAAAACAAAGCAAAAGAAGGCCATGACTAAAATTTACCCGTTGATTTATTGACTATTTATATGCTGTGTCTCTAAATCACCTCCATTAGTTTTAGTAAAGCAAACAATGATCTTGCCAAATAAAAAGTTTCATAAAATGAGGACAGCTAGGTGGCACAATTGATAGAATGCTGGGCCTGGAGTCAGGAAGACTTAGCCTTGCGAGATCAAATCCAGCCTCAGACACTGACTAGCTGTGTGATCCTGGGCAAGTCACTTAAACCTATCTGCCTCAGTTTCCTCATCTGTAAAATGAGCTGGAGAAGGAAATGACAAAGCACTCCAGTATCTTTGCCAAGAAAACCTCAAAAGGGGACCATGAAGAGTCAGACATGACTGAAAAACAACAGAACAACAATGATCATAAGATAAGCAATTGGTCCCATTGCTTTTTACCATTTCATTGAAAGACTATAAGTAGGCAGGTTTGATATGAACATTCATTGATGTGATGGAATTTAGGAGAAGGTTCAGTTTGAGTGATCAATATGAAGTTAGATTAAAAAAAAACATTGTTATAAGGAGAACTGGCATTTGTTATTAGGTGTCTGCTAAGTGGAAAAGTGCTGGGTAGTGAAGATACAAAGGCTCCACAGGAGAAAGTGAGGCTGGTGACTTTGCACAGCCCTCTCTCACTTCAATCCAATTCACTTCCATGTCATAGAGTCACCTCCATGATGTCATGATCCTCTTTGAGAATGAAGGACAAACGATAACAAAAACAAAGACCAAAACAAAACTGTCTCTGTTCTCCAGGAGCTAATCCATGTGAAGAAGTAAGTAAATACCAAGGATAGTTTGGAGAGGGAGAATGTGTTAATAATGAGTGGGGGAAGGGAAGGTAGAAAGAAGAAGGTAAAGACTAAGCTGTTTTTGAATTAAGTTAGGGATTCTAGAAGGAGGAAAGACAAGAGTGCATTATAGCCTTGGGGGACCACTAGTACAAAGGCATGAATGTGAAATATGGAATGTTAAGAGATAACAGGTCATTCTAACTGGATCAAAGATAGAATGAAATATTAATATGAAATAAATTAGAAATTTATATGAAATTAATATGAAATAAAATTAGAAAGGTACATGAGAAGAAGATTATGGAGGGCCTTAAATGCCATGTTGAGGATTTTATATTTTAATTTTGGAAGCAATTGGCAATTTTTGAGTAAGGGGATGACATAGATCTGTACTTTAAGAATATCAATTTGACAGCTCTTCAGAGGTTGTCATGGAAAGGGAAGAGATTAGCTTTGGAATCAGGAGGCAAAAACCAAAATTACAAAGCTATTGCAATAGTTCATTGGAGAGTTGATGAGCCTGAACTAGGGTAGAAATTGCAGGAGTGGAGGAACTGATATGAGAGAGGTAAAATGAAGAAGGCTTGGCAACTAACTGATAAGACATGGAAAGAGTTAAGGATAATAGGAAGGTTCTGAATTAAGTTTGTGAAACTGGAAAGAAACTGCTGAGTAGTGCCATCAATAGAAAGCTGGAAGTTTGAAGGACAGATGGATTTTGGAAGAAATGTAATATACATTTTAGACATATTAAGTTTGAGAGGCTTATAGGATGTACAGGTAGAATGTAAAACAGATAGAGCTGATAAAAGACTGAGCTCAGAAAAGAGATTGGGACTGGATTTGGAAGTCATGTGTACAAAGATGGGTATTAGATTGATGAATATCAGTGATGGAGTTAATGATGAGGATATCCGCACTAGAGGTGATGACATTCCCAAGCGAGAGAATACTTAAGAGAGAAAATAAGAGGGCCTAGACTAGAATTTTAATGATGGTGATATTTACCAGAAGAGGATGAAGACCAAACAACAGCAACTGAGAAGGGGTAGTCAGAGAGGTAGAAGGTATACAAAGACAAAACAATGTCACAGAAGCTAAAAGAGCAGGAATTATTCAGGGATTAGAGGGGGATGTAATGTCAACAGCTCTAGAGAAATCAAGAAGGATGATGATTGAGTAAAGGCCATTGATCTTATTAATTAGGAGATTATTAGAACTTTAAAAAGAGACACACACAAAGACTTAAAATAAGAGACTGGAGCAGAATCTATTAGGCTTCAGCTGAAGTAAAAAAGACAGGGGTAGCAATCATGATCCCAGACAAAACTAAAGCAAAAACAGGCCTAGTTAAAAGAGATAATCAGGGAAACTTCTTTTTGCAAAAGGTATTATATATGGGGAAGTAATATCAAACATTTTAAAAGTTTTTTTTCACATAAAGGACATTTCCCAAATGTAGAGGGAACTGAGTCAAATTTACAAAAAAAAAGAGCTATTTTCCAACTGATAACTGGTCAAAGGATATGAACAGGCAGTTTGCAGAAGAAGAAATCAAAACTATCATCATAAGAAAAAATGCTCTAAATCACTATTGATCAGATAAATTAAAATTAAAACAATTCTGAGGTACCACCTTATATCTATTAGATTGGCTAACATGACAGAAAATGAAAATAACAAATGCAAGAGGATCTATGGAAAAAATAGGTGCACTTATACACTATTGGTGGAATTGTGAAATGGTCCAACTATTTGGGAGAACAATTTGGAGCTATGCCCAAAGGGCTATAAAACTATGAATGTCCTTTCACTCAGCAATACCACTACTAGATCTGTATCCAAAGAAGTCAAAGAAAAATGAAAAGGAGCTATATATACAAGAGTATTTATAACAGCTTTTTTGTGGTGGTAAAGAATTGGACATCAAGGGGATGCCCATCAATTGGGGGACATGGCTGAACAAGTTGTGACATGATTTTTTTGGAATATTATTGTGCCATAAGAAATGACAAACAAGTTGGTTTCAGAAAACCCTGGGAAGACCTATATGAACTGATGCAAAGGAAAGCAAGCAGAACCAGGAGAATATTGTACATAATAACAGAAATATTGTAAGAGTGATCAACTATGAAAGACAGCTACCTGATTAAGACAATGATCCAAGATAATTCTGAAGGTCTCATGATAAAAAATGTTATCCACCTCCAGAGAGAGAATTGACAAACTGTGAGTGCAAATTGAAATAGAATTTCTCCCTTTCCATCCATATGGAGATATGTTTTGAATTGATTTCATATTTTTTTTTCTTTTTGTTTTTTTTAGGCAATCAGGGTTAAGTGACTTGCCCAAAGTCACACAGCTAGTAAGTGGCAAGTGTCTGAGGTTGGATTTGAACTCAGGTCCTCCTGACTCCAAGGCCAGAGCTCTCTCCACTGTCCCACCTTGCTGCCCCAATTTCACATGTTTAATTGACACCATATTGTTTCCTTTCTCAGTGAGTGGGGGGAGGAATGAAGAGAGGGAGAGAACTTGGAACTCAAAAATAAATAAATAAATGGAACAAAAATAGAATAAATAAATAGAACAAAATGTTTTTTTTAAAAGGAGATCTTTGTGACACCTTAGAGAAAACCCTATCAATAAAGCATTGAAATCAGAAACTAGACTGAGCAATGGAGAAGAGAGTGTAAAGTGTTGAAACATAAGTAATTAATTTAAACAGTTTTTAAAGGAATATGGCTATTTGAGGAAGAAAAATATGTTGAAATGGCAGGGTAAAGTGAAGGTTTTTTAAGAAAAGGAGAAACCTTGGCACATATAGATCTAGATCTAGATATAGAAAGATAGATAATTATAAAGATAGATAGAAGAGCCAGAATAAGCAAATATCGAAAATTAGAAAAAGAAAAGGTATGATTGATGAGGCAAGCTCCCAGAAAAGATGAGAGAGCAGATGAGAGGATTGAGAGCGTAAGTGGAAGGATTAGCTTTGGCAAAGAGAAGGCCTATTTCTTATCAGACACATGTAAAGAGTCAGGAAAAAAAAATAAGGCTTGTTATGCAGAAACGAAAACTCACTTGAGATTAGATAACATAAATTAAACATGAAGCAGGTTGGTATGGTTGGGTTACTCTCCAGGATCACAGTGGATGGTGGGCGTAACCCATGTTTGGAGTTGGACAAATAAACATAGAGTTGTTAGTATTACGACAAAGACGCAAGAGTTTCAAGGCTCGCAGATTGTGTATGCTTGAACTAATCAACCACAGGTTCAAGGATGAAGGGAGGGAGAGGAGAACTAGAGTTGGTATGTACTGCTTTATACTTTGCAAATAACTTTACCATCCATTGTATCCTTTGAGGCTCACAACAACCTTATGTAGTATGGTATAATTGTCCTCATCATGGAGTTATGAAAACTAAGGCTAAAAAAAGATTAAATGACTTGTCCATAGTCACACAATTAGTATGCCGGAGGTGATATTTGAACCCACGTTTCTCTTGACTGCAAGACAAGTACTTTTCCTCTCTTGATATAAAAATATATAGGAGGAACTCTTAAAATTCTAAAGTGTAGAGATTGAATTAAAATCATCAGTACCACACCTGAACAGAATAAGATTGTATTTTCTTTAATAAAGTATCAGATATCATACTACTGAACATTGGCCTACTTGTGAAAAGGAGTGGTCTTATTTTACTAACTCCTTCTAAGGACAATGGGAGAATGAAATAATTTCCCACATCTCTCATTTCAAAATGCCTCTTCCGCTAAGCAAAGGCTGAGATGATAGATTTAAAAAATGTTCTATGCCTTTACTTACCACTGGTCTGTGTACATCCCAGAACGCTCGTTCCTGGCTGTCAAGAATCTTCCTTTCTATCTTGTCTCTTTTCTTGTCAACTCTGTGAACAATGTAGTGGTAAAGGAAATAAACATTAATTACAATCCTTTTGGAAGGGAAAAACCTCACCGATGTGATATCACCAATAAGCCTGACTCACAAATACTCACTTTGCTTGGGCTTCTGCTTGCATAAAAATAAACTCCCACTTCCGGGCAAATGCTCTTTGTAGTCTTGCCAAGCTCTCCTGAAAACACATCATGGGTTAAGAATATTTAAGACCATATTTTTCTGCTACAGATTACTTACAATTAGTTACAGTTAGTTGAAAAGCCAGATGTAGAGCTATTACTAAAATGATGCATGTATGCATCTAAGCCTTAAAATAAGCTATCTTCTTATATGATTTTACCATCATTAAAGAAGTGACTTCTAAAAGTGTAATTAAAAATCTTTTATAACTGCAGTATATGTAAAGATCATTTTTTTTTTTTGTTTTCAGAATCATGCTAGGAAGTACTGCAGAAATACAATCAGTGCATCTGTCAGGACTCCCACTTTACACCAAGGAATAGGAAATTAACTCTGACTATAAATTAGATTACAAGCCAGGACACCAAATTTCCTGGCATGCAATTAAAGGCTGACCTTTGTTTGCTCATACCCCTTTTTCATTCCTTGCCTCAGTTTCAGTGATCTCTAACTTGCTTAATATCTGAAAAGAAAGAAATCAGGTTCTTGCTGAAGTCTTTCTATTGATAGAAGTCATTTCCCCTACCACAATGATCTTTAACTCCAAATTGGCAATGTGGCATAGTGGAAAGAATACTGGATTTAGAGTCGGAGGACCTGGGTTCAAATCCACCTTTGTCATTTACTACTTGGGCAGGTCACTTAACATCTCTGGGCCTCAATTTCCTCAAGTATAAAATTGGGAAGTCGGACTAAATGCCCTTTAAGGTCCCTTCTGGCCCTAAATCTATAAACTTCTGATCTTAGTCAACTAACATTTACGTACCTACTATGTGCCAGGCATTGTGTTAACCCTTGGGATAAAAAGAAAGGCATAAGTTGTCCTTGCCCTCAAGGAACTTTATAGTCTAATGGGGGAGACAACAGGCAAAATATTATGTACAAACACTGCATACACAGGATAAATTAGGGATTTGGTCTCAGACATTAGCAGAGTACATGCATCACAGCAGCCATTAAATCCACCCCTTCACCCTACTCCTGTCCAGTTGCTTGATTTGTGCTCTGGAGCCTCATCAGCCTGACGGATGGGGTGAGAGATGGCCAGATAAAGGCAGAATCAATAAACTATACCACCCAATCCTGATCCCAGCACTCCATGAAGGTGTAAAGGGAAGAGAGTGCAGGTGAAAGCAGCTGTTCTCCGTTGCTATTTGCTTAAGGTCTCGATTTATTTGAAGCTCTAGAGAAGGTCCAGGATCAGTTACTTACAGCTTCATAGTCTGCTAGCTCCAGCCGGGCTTTGTTTTGCATTGTTCTCTTGCAGAGGTAAACAGCTGAAAAAACAAGCAAGCACAAGAATCAATCATTTCCTACCTGCCTCTTAATGCCAGGGTCCTGTAAATCAACCTTAAATGGCTTTATCTGCTTTTCTTAGAAATGTAGTCTGTGTTTTTTTTTTTCCTTCCACCAATTAGAGGTAGCTGGTGGCACAGTGAGTAGAGTTCTGTGTCTGAAATTAGGAAGTACTGAGCTCTCTGGTCTCAGGCACTTAATAATTGTATGACCTTGGGCAAGTCACTTAATTACTGTTTGAACCGGTTTCCTCATTTGTAAAATGGAGATAATAGTAGTACTCACAGGGTTGTTGTGAAGATTAAATGGGATAGTAATTGTAAAAAGCACTTAGCATACTGTCTGTCACTTAGGAGGTATTATATAAATGCTTATTCCCTTCAATTTCCCAAATCATGGTTTCTGATACATTCATTTGTTCACTGAACTTATTAAGCACCTACTATATGCCAAGAACTGCTTCAGATACTAGGGATAAAAAGACACAAATAAAACAGTCCCTACCCTCAAGGGGCTTACATTCCAAGCAACAAATATCATAATATTTATTTACCAGATGTCAGACAGAATGATAGTATTCATCAATTAATTCAACAAACATTTATAGAATACTAAAAATTCACAACAGAATAGACACATTTGCTAATGCATATACGTATGTAGAGAGTCAGGTTGGTTTAGTACAAGGGTGGAGAACCTGAGGCCTCAAGGCCACATGTGGCCCTCTAGGTCCTCAAGTGTGGCCCTTTGACTGAATCCAATGATGCACTTGAGGACCTCAAGGCCGCAGGTTCCCCACCTCTGGTTTAGCGGATAGAGAACTAGCCTCAAAACCAAGACAACTTCAGTAGCACAATATCAGTGTGATCCTGGACAAATCACTTAACATCTAAGTGCTCTAAGACACTCCCTAAGACTATAAGTTACAGAGGAGGTACCAACCTACCTTGATATACTATGTTTCTTTTCCTATATCAATGAAATCACAGATGCAGTCCCTATTCCTTTGTGCACCTATGTATATACACATTACATACATATATAAATATGCATTTTGAATGTATCATATATAGCTAACAACTATGGAAATAGCTATTATCAATTTCTAAATGTATTTGTCAATTTAAAACATTCTGCTTAAATGAAGTCTCTTCTTTGGGTACTGTCATCCCTAACAGTTTTCTGTAAGAGAAAGATTAAATTACATTATTTTAAATTTCTTCAGTAGTTCCAATACCCCAAATCACTTCTTTTTTTGAGAATGCTAGCTCTCAGAAAAGCATTTCCATGAGTTACTAAATGACTAGTCTTCATAACAGGACTAAAAACAGGACCTTAATTAAGGAATTTGGTAATAACTGATGCCTAGTTTTTCTTCCCTCTTCACATTTGTGAAAAGAGGTGTTTTTCATAAAAATATTTACTAAGAATGGGGCACTGTTTCCCTCATTCCTTATCTCTGTATTTTTTTTAAATTTAATAGTCATCTTTGAATGTTTCAATATTCATTTAGGCTGATAACACATTTTGAGCCAAAGCCAACTCACCAGAGTTAGCAGGGCTTATTGCTTCCAGCTTAAGTACTATAACTCTGGCTTTCCTCATTTCAACTGAATTTTGTTTGGGCAACCCTGAGCATCAGTATAGATGAGGATAAAACCCATTTCTAACTCTTCCATAGTCAGATTTCTGTAGGTGATGCTGAAATGACAGATGGTTAATGATGCTGACATGATAAAGTGCAGTGATCCTGTACAGCATAGATACAATAAATGTTTGTTGTATTTGCATTGCTACAGACAGACCAAGAGTTTACAGAAACATTGTACTGATGAATCAAAGTATCCTTTGCATATGATTTAGCCAGCCTTTTAAGAGCAATGTTGTGGTTATTGGCAGCAAGGGAAGATGAAGTCTGTAGAAGTATTGCCAAAAGCATTAGCCTTCTTCAATGGTGTTAGAAGGAGAGAGTGCCTTTTTCTTCCCTAAACTCTATTAATCACTCATTCTGCTACAGATGTTTCACATGATAATATCAATACCCTTCTAGTTCTTTCAAGTAGTTTTCTCATTCTATTGAGGGCTTTGTCAAATATGTGCAGGCGAAGTGTATATTTTGGTCTCATCATCAGTGGCGAGTCTTTCTTCCATTTCAACTCAGCATTTGACATTTCACATGACAGTGAACACAACCTTGGCAAGCACACATCCTCCTATTTAATTCCTGGACTGAGTGAGACTTCATAATAATAACAGCTAGCATTTATATAGTGTTTTAAGATTTGAAAAGACCTTTACAGATATTATCTCAATTTATCCTCCCAATAATGCTATGAGGTAGGTGTTATTGTTTTCCCGTTTTAAAGATGGAGAAACTGAGGCAGGCTGAGATTGAGAGATTTGCTCAGGGTCATACAGCTCATAAGTGTCTGAGGTCAGACTTGAATCCAGGTTTTCCTGACTACAGCTCCAATATGCCACATAGCTGCCAAAATAATTTAAATTACTTTCAAAAGAAAATGATCAATATTATATCTTTAAAGGAATCTTGTATGATTTTGACATATTTATGGTAACACTTCATTGGAGGAGATCCTTTAAATCTGTATTTTGCTATATTAATTTAAAATGAAAAACAAACCCCCCCAAAAGCTCAATGGGCTATTGTATTATCTGGATGTTTCAGCCCATTGTGTTACTGTAAAGATGCTGTTTGGGAGAGAATTTCATTTGCCTTTTCCTGTTCATGTATATATCAAGTATGGATGCTTTGAGATTGTTCTCACAAAAAAACTTTGTAGAGAAAAGAAGTAGGTATATGTGCCAGTATTTGTTGTTATTTAATCACGTTATTTTATAGTGAAAATTTCCTTGATTTTCTCAAGCTTTTGCTATCTTTTTCTCTTCAGATATCACAAGAATTGATCTCTCACTACCCTTAACATTGTGTCATTTCTAGCACACATCTCCTTTGTATATAATTTGTCTAGTTCATCTATTTCTGTCACACTTGTTTTCCTTGGTACCATTTCTACTTCTTCACTTAGCAAAATACCCAATTGTGATGTTAGAGTCCAAATACGATTACAGAAACCAATGAAGAGAATAATTTGTTAGCGTCCCACTTTTCATGGTTATCGTTCTCCCAGTTTTATCCTTAAATGTCCTCAGAATGATATGGTTTAATTGGTCACTTGAGCAACTTTCTGTAAACTTTATTTTTTTCTCTATTGCTTGCTATTGTTCTAAGACTTCTGTTACCTCTTATAATCTGTCACCATTCTATATAATGAGGATTCCCAACATATTCTATTTTAAAATGGTATTTCTGTTGCTTTTATCCTCTCTTCTCTTGGCAAGAGATCAGGTATTTGCTGGTCTTCAGGCTTTTTTCTTTCCTTTATTCTGGTCATTGATTTATATTAGTTAAGCTTCACTTGGAAATGGCAAAAGTATATGTTACTGTCTGTTATTTTATCCATCCTCCCCATAGTTGTCAAAATAGTCTTGCCTGCTGAAAAACAAAACAAAAATAAAACAAAAAACTGTTGGTGGCTTCTATTGTTTATATGATTAAGTAGAAGCTCTTCATCTCTGCATTTAAAATTTTCTGTAATCTGGCTCTAATCTACCTGCCCAGATTTTTCATGTTGCTCTTTCTCAAGAGTTTGATATTCTGGCCAAACTGGTCTATTTGCTGTTTCTCAAATTCAGTATTCTCTCTCTGTGAATTCACACGGAAAAGTCTGGAATGAATCTTATCTCTCCTCATCAGAGCTCCTTGGAATTTTTATCTTGCTTCATGGCTCCTTCCACGTGTGACCTCTTCCACAAAATCTCATCTAACCTCTCCAATTGTAGGTTCTTTCTATATCTTCTTATTGCCTTGTACTCACTTGCCTGTATATATACTGTATCTACTGATTAGATTAAAAACTCCTTGAGGGGAGGATCCATTTTCATCTGTGTCTTTATATTTATGGTCCCTCATGTAGTGCTTTGTTTACACACACTATTCTGGGTGTTCCATATATGTTGGTTGAATCAAATTGATAACTGTATAAAAAAACCCATGGATCTGTAGGAAATATGTCCCTAATTATATTTCATCTCTTGTTTACTGTTGGATTTGTTGTTGGCATAATGTGGTCAAGTCCTGACCTTGTGTCATCATTTAATACCTTTCATTTTAGAGCTGTTACCACAAAGTCCACCTGATATAATGGAGCAAACAGACCAGAGATGGAATAAATATCTGACAACAGTGTTTACTCTATTTTCACCTGAGAGTATTTCATGCAATAAGGTCAAAGTGAAACAGACTACCTGACTATGCAGACTTAGAACTCCTAGTAACTTGGTTTGGTTTTAAATACATGACTCCACATTCCTATTTTACAATTTCCTCTTAATCCAAGTGTAGGGCCTCTTGACTAGCCAAGATTGAAAACAAAAAAACAAAGGAGAGGAAGTGGTTCTTTATATTTTTTTCCTAGCGACCTCTCATTCTTGAAAAACCTCAGACAAAAGTTCTGCTCTGGGGTCTATGGTGGCTGCCATGCCAAGATATGTTTTATGCATCCAGTTTTCTAGCCCTTTGGCTACAGAGATTGTTTGTACATGTGCAGGCCCCTTGAAGCTGCAGCTTCATAAAAGACAAACTACAGCTTTGTAAACATTTACTTGGATAATTTTTGCTTCCCTGCCTGGAGTATTGCCTTTAATCAAGTTTCCAACACCTGGCTCCTGAAATTCTATTTTCAGATTCTGCACAGATCAGCTCTTATCTGTCTCTCCTCCTTCATCATCAGTCTTGACTTGATGATTTTATCCAGATACGTAAAACTTCTCTTGCAGCTTCCACATCCAGCTTTAGGGAAGCTGATTCTGAACTGTTAGGTGATATAACAAGGGTAGGAAGCTCAGGGGTTCCTTACACTAGGCCTGTGCCTGCAGGGAAAGTTGACCCTTTGCCCTCCAT